GAGGCTTTCAAAGCCGCGGAGGGGCTCCGGCGGGCGGGCAGCCCATGCGCGCCTGGGATGCCCCCCCGCCGGCTTCCCCCGAGGCTTTCAAAGCCGCGGAGGGGCTCCGGTGGGGGGGAGCCCAGGCGCTCCTGGCGCTCCTGGCGGCTTTGCTCCCGGTGCCTCTGGTCTGCTGGGGACCAGCTCCAGCAGACCAGGGACACCGGGAGCAAAGGAGGCGGAGGGGCGCTGGGGTATAAGATGAAACCCTATCTTTTAATTAAAAAGATAGGGGGTCGTCTTATACGCCCAGTCGCCCTATACGCCGGAAAATACGGTAGTTTGTGTGTTTCTGAAATAGAAAATACTCTTCTGGCCATCGTACACATTGAGACCTGCCTCTGTGAAAGTATCTCATGTGGTAGATGTTCTGCATCCACGACAATGCACAGGAAGCTGCTGACATGTCTAAGTTAGAGCTTTTCCTTACCTCTACAGGCCATCTGGCTCAGTATAAGCAAACAGTCACATTGCACACCCAGCTGGGAAGACATGCCTTTTCCAAAGATGTTACAAGGTCCTTAACCAGAATGTACTGGTACAAGTGACGTACACGACAAAATACAAAATGTTTTCAGAGATCTGAACAGGAAAAATAAACTGGTGCTAAGGCAGTGGATATACTTTGCTGTCAGTTACCTTCTCTCCTCTTGAATACAGCAGATCAGAATAAAAAAGGCTAAGTGTTCCTGAGAGTGGTAATTTTGTAATTATAGAATACTTGTGGTAGTCCCATGTGCTGGAACTAGTTAATTTCATATGCACCATTCCTTTAAATCAGAGTTTAAATTACATGTAAGAAGACATTTTGAACAAACGTGAGGAAAAGGAGAAGATCGGCAAAGACTAATTCTTCCCTCTTCCTGCTCTTATTCTTTTCTCTTCCCCTCGCAATGCAAACAACAATGCAAAATGGACACTGAAAATTCTTTGCAGCTCTGGCAGGGATGCCTTCAAAGCATTTTATGGCAAGATAAAACTAATGATACAGCAAACAGTTTCCATACTAGCAGGAAAATGCTGACATTTCTAAGAGAGATTATCCACAAAGGATCAAAATTCTGTTTGTTTTTTTTTCCAAAAGTGATATAGTTATTCTGCAGATTGTCAAATGAATCCCCCAGAAGTTTACCAGGCAGTGGACTTCTGTTCCAGTATGTTGGTTAGCTTTATTTGGTCTTGTCTCATTTAGTAAGAGTGGCTAAAATCTGACAAATTATTGACCCAACTAAATAAAATACTCTAGATGAGGACGTGTTTGTGCAAGGTATTTTTGCCATAGTAATGCAATCATATCTCTTGTACCAGTATGTGAGAAAAACCATCAGAGCATGAGACAATGTCCAAACACCTGTGCTTAGTGGCCCTCCTGAAATAAAAGCCATTTTAACCTGACAATTAATGATTAAAACTATTTTAACCAGATTACAAAACAAGTTCATCTCTTGCAGGGAGGAAACATCTTGAAGAACAGGATTTATCATTCAAAGTCATTCTAATATGTCACCTAAGTGATGGCACGAGACACAATCCAGCAGCCTTCTTTCTCCTTCCTCCCTCGCTCTCAACCCATCTGTCCCTCATAACATGGCTCTGTGAAAATCAGAAAGCTACCTGATTCCTTCTGCAGTGGGCTCACTGGTGCAAATGGAGACAGCTCCACATAACTGACCAAGGCTCCGCTCTTCTTCCTATCTCCATCTCAGAGTAGGCAGCAGATAGTGTCCCTTAGCAGCTCCTTCCTCTATGGGCCAGTCATATTCAGGGGTTTCTTCCTTTGTTCGTTCCCACCGGTTGGCCATCACTGCGCATTGTTCCTGCCTGCAGCACTCTTGTTGAAAATGTAGAACAGGGGATCCACCTGAGCTGCTACACAGTCTATGGTTGCATTTTTACCTTAGATTGCCAATTTCTGCACTAGTCTTCCCCATGTTTATTATAATTTCTCAATAGCCTAACTGCACCTGGATATAAGAAGAGGCTCTAGAAAATAACTTCTAGCTCTTAGATACAGTAGAAGCTCAGCATTATGAACAGCAGAGTTATGAACTGATCAGTGAAACACATGCCTCATTTGAAACCAGAAGTACACAATCAGGCAGCAACAGAGACAACCCTCCCCTGCCAACCGCCCCCTCCCTTTCCCCAATACAGAATGGTGCTATGTTCAATGTAAACTGAAAAAAAGGTGGGGAGCAGCATTTTTCTTCTGCATAATAAAGTTTCAAAGCTGGATTAGGTCAATGTTCAGCTGAAAACTTTTCAAAGAAACAACCATAACATTTTGTTCAGTTATGAACATTTCAGAATTGCTAACAACATCCATTCCCAAGATGTTCGCAACTCTGAGCTTCTACTGTAACACTTGTCATCAGTAGATCTCAGAGCATTTTACAGAAGAGATCAGTAGCATTGCCCCATTTCCTCTGGATATTTGAGGTACCCTGCCTGCACCGCAGACCAGAAGAGAAAAGCCTCCAGCCATTGCAAACAAGACAGCTCCCTCCTCCTACACCAACTGTAGGAGAATTCTCAGCTGTGTTTCTACCAAAGTATAGTCTGGGTGAATCGGTATATGTTGCTATTCATGTAAAACACAGGAAAAGAAAGAAATGAGGGAGACAAAAGGATTGGACTGGTGGCGCGGAGTGGGCAGAATGGCTTCACTTTCTGGCTCCTAATGCTGCACAGGTATGAAATTTCTCACATGTCTTAGTTGTTCTGAATTGATTTACACTTGGTTGATGCCTGGAGATGGTGTCTTGGGGGTTTACACAATCTTTTAATTTTATTAGTCTGGAATTCTCTGTCCTCAGATTAAATAAGCACAACTCCAGAAAAGGGAAAAGTATGTTTGAAACTAAACCAGATAAACTGATATTAGTAATGTATTGATACAAAAGTTGGGCCTCTGACACGTACACAAATTTAGTAGCTGACTCTAGAAGATTCTTTTTCTCACATCATTATGTATCTCAGTGTGTCATCAAGACCAACTTTTTTAATGTGCTTCTGGTCCATACTCCCACCAAGCTGTTGAATAATGTTTGTGTTTTTCTTCACCTCCGTTTTCAGTTACTAAACTTTGTTCTTTTAATGAGACTAGTCCACAAAATTAGAGAGATTTGGGTTTCTGCATATCATGCTGAGGTCCGATAGGAATGACTGGTTTTAGATTTGTATAATGCTCTTTGGCTACAGTGGTGTGTTACAATGAAGTGCTCTGTGTCTTATACTCAGACACTGAAATGTCAATGCTTCATAAATCTAGAATGACAAGATTGACTTCTGGGTTTGTGGTGTTTCAAAAATACACAGCCACTTCCGAATCATTCATGCTACACTGACAACCAAATCTGCCAATGTAACGTGGCAGACTTGCTAAGCAATACAATTTGTATATTTATATTGTAATGTGTGTTAGTAATTTCACATAGTAACTCAAAATCAAATTTACTGATGGAATGTAGATATATGAATATTTATGAAAAGTCTGGAATGTTCCTCTTCCTTGATTTCTCTATTCAGGTATCTTCATGATTTAAGGGAATTGTGTTCTAGTGCAAATACATTTATATAATTGACTTCTACGTTCAGTTAAACAGGTGTTTACACACTTGAGTATCTTTGTCCTTGTATGAATGTTGAGCTGCAGCTGGATATGAATTTTGAATGCCATGATTATAAATCAAATGTGTTTCTGGTGTTAACAAAATAAATGATAATATTCATTTTCTATATTACTTTTGACCTCATAATTTCAGATGTACCTTTCTTGAGCAACTGGGTCAGCACCTGAATGTTTTCCTTGTTTATTAGCAGATATTTCAAACATAATGCACTAATTATGTTATAAGGCATGTTTAATGGAAAAAAACGTTTTACTTTTTTTATTAAAATGATAAATACATTTTTCCATATATAATACATTTTCCCCTAGTGGAAATATGAAGTGCATCTTGAAACCGATACTTCTACTTGATTAAAACTTGGATTAATGCCATTTCTGCATTCTAGAGAGGCGATTAATGAGCTGTGTACTATATGTAATAAAAAGAGGCAATGCTTGGTTGCTATTTGTTGAATTTCCTTTTCTTCACTTAATGTTCAAGATGGAAGTAAGCACAGAAGTAATGTCCACCAAAACCTTATCTACACTGAGGTGAAATCCTGGCTGCAGTGAAGTCAATGGGAGTTTTGCCATTAACTTAAATGAGACCAGGATTTTTCACTGAGAATTCTGAACATTCTCATTACAGACACAACCCAAGGGCAAAATGGTCTCTTAGTATTTTCAACTCTGCTGATATTAATACCTCCTGAGATGTAGCTTGATCCTTAGAACACCATTGGGAATGGCGAGGATTAAAGTTCTTAACATTACCGGAGACAGCAATTACCAATCAATTGCCTACAGTGATAATTCATGTTTTCTTCTGGTCCTACCTTCTGACGCTCCATTTCCAGCACTGAATATATGTGTTAGCTATAAATAACTAAACCTATGGATGTGTACAATCCAGAAAGCACAAGTCCTTTAGCTGACATTCCTGACCACTACTAACACTGTGTAAGGATTTCTAATGCAAAGCATTTTATTACTGATTAGAAAATGCACGGTGTTCACAAGACCAAGCCAAATGATTGCATGTCATGATTAGGTATAGAGCTGAAGAAATATTGTGTGCATTCAGGTCACAATACACTTCAAGCTGTTTCCCGTTAGATTTAATAATATGGGTAAAATAATTCAGCTAGATGTTCTACTTTGAATATTCCTCATTAACTTGCACATGTATTTGGCAATGGTCTTCTCTTGAGTTAGTTTATTTGAGTGCTGCGGAACCATTCCAGTTTGTCAGACGTTGCTATACTTGTATGCTTTGCTGCTTTTTTATTTTTGTTTTGTTTTTCATTTTTATGCTCTGAAAGTAACATCTTTTTCTTTATCTTTTTTAAAGATAAAGACATTCCCTGCTGATACATCTAATCCTTTTTTCGATCCTTTTTCAACAGTACCACAGTTTTCTGTAAGTAGAACATGCAACTGAAAAACTGTGTATTTTAACACAACACTTGCAACTTCAGATTATTTTTTTTAACAATGTCAGAAATTTGTGCCTTTAACAGCCCTAATAAAGATATTTTCTAAATGTAACTTAGAGTGCAACTCAATCAAATATGGCCATGACTTGTCTGCCTTGGTGTGTTGGAGATTACTAGAAGCAGAAATGAACAGAAAGGGCGGGGAATGGTGAGGGCCTAAGGTTGCCAACCCTCCAGGAATGTCCTGGAGTCTTCAGGAATTAAATATTAATCTTTAATTAAAGATAACATCATGTGATAAAATCGCCAAGAGTTCATCCCACCAAAGTTAGTAAACCTATCAGTGGGCCTAACTACTAAATCCATAAATTTCCTGGATTTTTTGCTGAATTGGCCTTAGTCCCCTTTACAGAGCCTGACTTTGTCCTCCAGAGGACCTAACTTTCATGAAAATTGCATTCTGAATCGACACAACAAATTACAATTAATATTAAACAGGTGTATGTTGTTGACTGCAGTAGCTATAAACTCCCATGTTAATTAACAACCTAGAGCTGAGTCTTGGAGTCCATAGTTCTTACTGGGGCAATTTCTCCCATTAAACTTCCCTGGAAATATTGCTCAAGAAAAAAGTGAGTTGGGGACTTTGGGATGTGTCCCTTTGCACAAGGCTTACTGCACAGTAGCACATGCACAGCACTAATAACTTGATAGCAATGTAAAAATAAGCTTGACAGTCCTAATAGTACCTGGCCCTTAATGCTCAGCCTCAGAGAAGCAGTGTCAGTATGATAGGGTACATCTAAACTACATGGCTCCGTCGACGGAGCCATGTTGATTTGTTTGTTCGGCAAAGGGAAATGAAGCCACGATTTAAATAATCGCAGCTTCATTTAAATTTACATGACTGCCGCGCTGAGCCGACTAACAGCTGATTAGCTGTTTGTCGGCTCAGCGCGCTAATCTGGATGCTCCCACATCAACCTGAAAGCCCTTTATTGACCTCCCCGTTATGCCTCGTAGGATGAGGTTTACCGGGGAGGTCGATAAAGGGCTTTCATGTCGGTGCGGCTGAGCCAACAAACAGCTGATCAGCTGTTTGTCGGCTCAGCGCGGCAGCCATGTAAATTTAAATGAAGCCGCGATTATTTAAATCGCGACTTCATTTCCCTTTGCCAATCAGCCTAATCTACATGGCTCCATCGATGGAGCCATGTAGTTTAGACACACCCATAGGTAGAAAAAATGAGAAATTTAAGCAGTTGGGGGACTTGTTAAAATTAGTATTAGAACTCAAAGCAACTAGATAATGTGAATGGGACCATGAGTGAATGTCCTTTGCTTGTCCTTCCCAACATGTCTTAAAAGCCACAGAATTGAAACCTCATATTAGAATTGCTCTTCTCCATTACTAATGTGATGTTTCTATATTAAACTCGTGAAATTAAGTCATTCAGACTTAAACTTTAACTTTGTTCTGAGCCCTAAATCTGTTTTCTACATTGTGTAGTTATATATGAGATATAGAACCTTATTCACAGCTGGAGCATCTATAATATCTGTCTATATTTAGTAAGTTAAACAAATAGATTTTAGGGAGAGAGGTTGAAAAATTCACCCTAATCTGGTTCATCTCTATTTTTTTGCTCTAATTAAAAAATATCCCAACACATGCATTGAAGCATTTCAAGTCCATTATAACAGGGTTATTGAAAAAGTCTTAATCTTTGTATTACATCTATCCTGGATGAAAACCTCCACCTGTGTGTCCTGGATAAAACATGCATTGAGGTGAGCACAGAAATCTGTGCAAAATAATGTCCCCATTAGTTGTTAGAATTTATCAGAAAATTATTTTCCCCCTGTAGAAGATGGTAATGAAACTGAAATTTTGGTAGGTTTCACTTCAAACCAAACTTAAACATGCTGGCTTTGTAATGAAAACTTGAAAAATTCCAACAAAAGCTGAAAAATGTTATTAAAAAGTTGCATTTAGTTAAAAAGTCATTTTGCTATGGAAAAGTCAATGGAAACATTTTGACCAGCTCTATAAAGTAAGCTTTGAATGGAAAAAGGAGGGATATTGAGCAGATAAATAAGATCTAAGTAACTTCTCCAAAATTTATCTTTTTCTCTTCATAGTATTGGTTCACTGAAAAAAATAATGCAATATCACAAATATCTAACATTACATTTCAGCCTATGCATCCCATGTTTTGTCATATATTTATGCAATGTAGGAAATCTTTAGTAATCCAGGAAATGCCAAGAGGGTTTGCAAGAAAGGGAAAAAGTAATGAGTGGGGGGTTGTGTATAATTCATTTCTACTCTATGCCGTTATCCCTGTCCCACGGCTTGAATAACGGGAATCATTCAACAAGGAAATGTTGGCTTCAGATCAATTTATTTTTCAGTTCACGTTAATGCACCAGTTGTGCTAGGTGTCACTGAGTTTTTTGCTTCAAAACAACAACACAAGCAAATGCT